TACACAGCACAATGCTCCCCCTCACCTTATTACAGCCTACACTGCCTCCCTCACCTTATACAGAGCACAATGCTCCCCCGCACCTTACCTTATACAGAGCACACTGCTCCCCCGCACCTTATACAGAGCACACTGCTCCCCCGCACCTTATACAGAGCACACTGCTCCCCCGCACCTTATACAGAGCACACTGCTCCCCGCACCTTATACAGAGCACAATGCTCCCCCTTCACCTTATACAGAGCACAATGCTCCCCCTCACCTTATACAGAGCACACTACCACCCCTAATACAGAGCACAAGCCTTCTTCACCTTATACAGAGCACAATACTTCCCCTCGCCTTATACAGCGCACACTGCCTCCCTCATCTTATACAGAGCACATTGCCACCCAATACAGAGCACAGTGCCACCCCTAATACAGAGCACAATACTTCCCCTCACCTTATACAGTGCACACTGCCTCCCTCGCCTTATACAGCGCACACTGCCTCCCTCGCCTTATACGGCGCACACTGCCTCCCTCGCCTTATACGGCGCACACTGCCTCCCTCGCCTTATACGGTGCACACTGCCTCCCTCGCCTTATACGGCGCACACTGCCTCCTTCGCCTTATACAGCGCACAATGCTCCCCCTCACCTTATACAACGCACACTGCCTCTCTCGCCTTATACAAAACACAATACTCCCCCTCATCTTATACAGAACACACTGCCACCCTCACCTTATACAGAGCACATTGTCAGTGTTTTTTTTTTTTGTTTGTTTTTTTACTAAATTGAATTACTGAATTCTGACTGCATCAGCAATTTGCAGATTTACTAAAGCCAAAGGCAGTCAGGTGTCAATCATTTGGATAATTTAGAAATTTAGAACTGGTTTCACTTTCAAACAGATGTAATTTACCTTAAATAATTGTATCTCAATCTCTAAATTGAACTTTAATCGCATACAGGAGGCTCTTGCAGGGTCTAGCAAGCTATTAACATAGCAGGGGATAAGAAAATCTTAATTAAACAGAACTTGCAATAAAGAAAGCCTAAATAGGGCTCTCTTTACAGGAAGTGTTTATGGAAGGCTGTGCAAGTCACATGCAGGGAGGTGTGACAAGGGTTCATAAACGAAGGGATTTAACTCCTAAATGGCAGAGGATTGAGCAGTGAGGCTGCAGGGGCATGTTCTATACACCAAAACTGCTTTATTACGCTTAAGTTGTTCAGGTGACTATAGTGTCCCTTTAAGTGAAGTGATAATTTGTAGAATTAGTTGCCCAATAGCAGACAGCAGACAAAACTCTTCATAGTGCGAGGGTTAATTATTTGGTGGATGGCCAGTGCTTGCTAGAGTTAAAAAATGTATAGATTAAAATATAAAAATCCTATATTACCCCATATTACATTGACTGTATCATGATGTTTCCTAGATGTATAAAACTAGCAACTGTTCATCTATAGCAGGGACTATGTACCCCTATGGGCATTGTATGGGGGCTACTCTATATATTCATGGGGGAAGAGCCCTGTTGTTAATAATAAAGGGTTTTCCTGCACTATCTCAGCTGTCGGAAAGCATGGAAAGTTTTTCCACGCTTTGTAACATGATCAAGAACTCTTTAATTGGTTGTCTAGAAAGCCAACCAATCCAAGCGCTCTGATTGCCAAGTCTTGAGCGAAGTGAGAATTGGGTGGGAGTAGGTGGGGGTGGCACTAAGTTCCTCAACCTTTATTATTATCAGGGGCCCCACCTTTCGCCCATAAGTGGGAGTTGAGGTTACACTAGGTCTGTCCCACTTTATTATTAATAGTAGAGCTCCGACCTGTTGTCCATGGGTGGGGGCTAAGGGGGTAGACTCCCTTAATGAGTATTAGTGCCCTTACCCATCAGCCACGCATGGAGTCCAGAGAGGAATCAACACAAGGTTCTCCCTCATGAATATGTATTGTAACCCTCACCCGATACCCATGGTGTGATAGAAGCTCCCATGACATGGCATTTTGGAGAGTCTTGAATGCCAGCCTCTTGTCCACAGACTATGGGCCTGATCCCTAGAGCGCGTGGAAGGAGCTTGTGATGGTAGCAATTAATATACAAACTATGCATTGTTAGTTTGATAACTGCATTGCCCTCTGTTGACTGATTACATAATTCTGGTATGCACATTAAGGCAACCAAATAAGTAGTTAAATGTATATTTTGTTCCTTTTTATTGTGTTTGAAAATGTTATTTGTATTAAATATTTAATGTATTAATTCTAATTCCTCATCCTCCAATGTTCTGTATGTTTGTATTTTTTTTTCATTGTATAATTTTTATTAGATTTTCAGATGTTTTTGCATTGAGCCGCCATTTTAAACATAAACAGTTGGTTATGGCAACGTACAACCTTGTTGATGTATGTGGCGAAAGTAACCTCGCCACTTGTACTTGGAGAGGCCTGCTTGCCAGACTCTTGCCCTATGGCCCCTGGAATGTATTGCCCTTTAAAAGCATTATTTGGGCTTATGGGGTTTTAATACTCTATTTCTGCCCCAAGACTATGGGCCCTGCAAAAAGACATGCTAAAAAGTAACTTCCATGGGAAAATGTGCCTCTTCCCCTCCCCCTTTTTCCTGTCCTATTGTTCTCCAGCACTGGCTGGTTTGTCCCTCCTCAATCTCCCATCAGCCCTTGCTATTTTCTGACCCCCACCCTTCCTTGTACTATAGGCACTTTTTAACATTGGACATATTGAGTGCTCAGATCCAATCTATCTGGGGATTTGTTGGACATATAGGTTTAACATTGTATTATATGAGTTATGTATTGTGACAGAACCATCTGTCTGTCTATTGTGGTGGATTCGTCTATTTCTGCCCCCTTCGTGTAAATGGCTGTTTCTATAGCCCAGCCATACGAATGACTGTCTTTTACCAAATGGATGGCCACCCAGGATAGAAGTGTGCTGCTGGTTAACCTCTTGATCCCAATTAGAACGTTGTGGTTAACCGCAGACACTTCTCAATTAAACCGAATTCAGGGTGGCCGTCGTTCGTATGTCGACCACGAGGCAGCGGCCATTTTAAAACACACGAAAGACCAGCGGTGTTCGGCACTGATTTCATGGAACTAAAAACTGACACCTTTTCTGCCGAACACCGCTGAAACAACGGGTCGCCTGGCTGCCCCGACGAAAGCATACGAACACCGGCTGTTCGGGAGTTTTACATCACACGAAAAGACTTTACCCAGATAGCCTTCCCATGGAGTCAATCGCATACCGAAAGACTGTAAGGACTTTGACTCCATGGCGATTGAACTATGCGTATGGGATCTGAGCGCTATTCGCCAATAATATGCCCTCAGATCCAGGCTATCTGGGGATATGTGATGCGAATGTAAAATGTTCAGTTGTTATAAAGTTATATATTTTTATGTATTTTCTGGTCTTTTACTTAAAATGGCGATGGGTCTTTGTCCTGGAGATAATTGAATTACTTCCCAATTATCTCCAGGGCAGAGGGGAGGAAACCATACTGCATTATGGGAAAAGCTTGTGACTGTATGTCTGTTATGTCCTCATGTCCATCTGTAATTCCAGTCTCCCATTTGGTCCCCTAGAGGAGTGTCCACCAAGTGGGAGATCTGCATTTCTGTTCGGGAGTTTGGAGCCTTTCACGGATCCCGGTCGGGAGATTACCGCTTCCCCTGATGGTGATTCGTATACTGCAGTCTATGCGAACGGAGTTACTGATATTGCGAAAGGGGAAGGTTAACTAAACGGTGGTTTCTCTTAAAGACACCAGGGGTGTCTTAACATGTATTTTTATGTGGTTTTTGTAGCAGTTTTTGACTTAGAGATAAGTTACCACAGCCACTTAAGCCAATTATCTCCAGGATAGAGGAGAAGATAGATCGACCGCACAGACTACATCTGTGGAACTATTTTGGGCATGAAAGCCATGCTTGCGGTAGGTCAGATATGACTTCCAGGAATTTCCTGAACCCCTGCTCTGATCTGGGTGATTTTTGGATATGTTGCTCACATAGATCAGGGCTATCCAGGGATGTAATATTTTTGGGGATATGTTTGTGTTTTGGGGAGTTTCTGGACTTTGGGGAAAATGTGTGGTTTTCTGCCTGTGGATAATTAGGTTATTGTATTAGCTGCTTTAATTATATCCCAGGCAGAGGGGAGGGCTTGTGTGCTGTATGTGGGAGTGTCGAACATTGCTGTATTGTTTTCATTGGTTTATGTCCCTTGTTTGCCTGTGTACCATCAGGTCCAGGGGGTGTGCCTCTGGCCTGAGGAATTGTATAAATTGTAAATGCTTGCTTACATTAAACAGAAGTGCTTTACCCCTTCATGAAGTCTTGGCTCATGTTTGGGGGATGGGATAACTACACTCTTGGGGATTGCTATAATCACAATACTCCCCTGAGTATAAGCTCTTGTAAGAGCTTGTTCCTGCTACGCTCTCTGGAGTAGGAGAGTTCTGTCCACTGGAAGCTGGATCCTGGCCTTGGTGGGTGAAGGACGGCGAGCTACGTCACTAGAAGTGGGGTCTGTAGTGCTTATGGTGTCTGGTGGAGTGATTGGAGTCCTTAGCAAGCACTAGG